TCATAAAACAATATGTGTACTACTGTTTCATGAGAAACTGTTTGTTCTGTAAACCTTCACCTGAAGTACAATAAAGATAAATAAATAGTTCCCCTGCCAGCTCTACTTTGAAAAAATTCTGGTAAAGGAGTCTGACTGGCCTAACATGCCTGCCCTTAGTACTATCACTGAGCCTGGGGGACATCCTGAATTATGTTCCTGAAGTCAGTGAAGCAGGGATTGTTATAAGAAAGAGGAAAAGGGAGAAAAACACTGGGTGTGCAGACAGGCAAGAGCTACCACAACACCTGTAACAGGGATGTTGTAAGAAACAAATGAAATAATGTTATGTAAAGCACTTAGCAAAATGTTGTTCAGGTAGTAAGCATATAATAAATGGTAGCTATTGACTCACCTGGCTGCGAAGAGTTTAGCAGTTAATCCCTCCTCCTTGTGGCGCCATTCTTTAATCTTAGCCAAGTTCTGAAAATTGAAAAAGACAAACTGACTCCCATTCAACTAAGAAGGCTATTTATTGAGAGAATACAATGATGTTACAAGGACACATTCCATGTGGCCCTAAAAAGCTGGGTGTTTGTAAGCGCGCAGTTGATGGTTGCTGGGAATAGGACAGTCCTTTGCTCAATCAACCACACATACATCCTGGGCTCCCTCCCTGCCAATGAAGATGTACTGAGGTTCAGACTGGCTGGATCTAGGATAGGCTCCATATATAAACCAGTGGTCTCCTTTGAGTCTTCAGAAACTAAGTCTTTACTAACTTCCATAACATTGGGGCAGAATTCAATTGGTTACAATTCATGCCATTCCTGATAGCTGTCCACTATGGGAATCCTCAATTTGCAAACCGAGTTCCTAACATGTATCCTAGCCAATCAGCAGGGGAGGCTCTCAGTAGAATTACTTATGGTCAAACTATGTATCAGACAACACAAACACGGACTTGGCATCACGTGTGCACTGAACACAGAGCATCATAAACAAGGTTTTCTGAGTGGTTAATGTCTTGGAAGGCAGATCTGCCATGCTTCACAGGTAGCAGACTCATTGGGCATCCCACATTTCAGTCCCCATGCACATCTTCCCTGCTAAGAATGATGAAGAATGCTTGGGAGCTCCTCATGCTGTCCAGGATGAGAGAAGGGTCAAGGATTCCGCTACCTGGCATGTAAAAAAGCCAGCAGGAAAGGTTTACACCACCACCCATGTCAACCCTCCCCATGATTTATCATTAGTGCTGGGAAAATTTGCTTATCTTAGCGGGGGAGTGATTCTTGTGTAAGAGAGATCAATGTCCACAGTTGCTTCCAATGAATCAGCAAAAGTTCTGGAAATTCCTTTAGGATGACCCATGGGAGATGTCGGGACATTAAAGCCCAGTGTGGGTCACTAAAGCTTAACTCATGCTCTTCTGATAGAAAAGCACCATGGACTGAAAAAAGTTGATTTCTTTATGCTGAAATATACTTGGGACACAAGGTGACTCAATACCTTCTATTTTTCCAAACTGAGTCAAAAGGCAAAATTTATGGCAGCAGGTAATTGGGTCTACACTTTTCCATAGTAAAATTAATTTGGGAAAAAATTCTCTTTTCCCTTAGCTTTGTTTTCTCAATGATCTGATATAGAAAGCTTGGGGCAGTGTTTTCCCATGGGAGTGAGTCATGAAAAGCACAAAAATTTTATGAAAACTGACATATGTTAGCTGAAAGTATAATTATCACAGTTGGGAAAAGGAAAGGAGTTACCAGTAGTTCAACTGTCCATGGTCTCTGCTAACATTTTGGTTTATAAGTTTCCAACAAGTTGTTTTAAACAAATTTGCATTAAGTCTTGCTGCCTCTTATACTTTTATTAATTCCTAAAGTGTCCAACCCATGCACGCTCATTAAATGTTTATGCATCTGGTTTATTTTAAAATTTATTTTAGGGCCCTCTGAATTCCAAAATACCTTTTCAGTGGCAAGGCCACGGGACCAAAGATCCAGGAAGGCTGCATTCTCCACCCAGCTTTGCCATTATAAGCTGTATCACACTGTGCAAACCACTTCACATCTTTGGTTTTCAGTTTATTCATCTGTACAAGGAAGTGGTTGGACTAGTTGATCTAATTCCTTGAATGGTGAATTCCTGGAGGTGGAATTGGTTTCCAAGGTGAATTTCATTAAAGAGCTGCAGTTGGGTGCAGCTGTCAGACAGTTTTAAAAATGAGTTTTGGTCACTGCTGCAGGAGTTTTATTTATAAAACGGCTGTAAACAGTGAGGGTTACAAGTCAAGCTGTTGAGAGTTGGGAATCTCCTGCAAACATATATTCAAAAGCTTTATAATGTCCAATATATAGGCATATCATTTCTAACAGGTTATATAAGATATCTGTAGTTGTTTTTACGGAAGTCTATAATCAGATCTGAGAATGTGGCTTTTATTAAAAAACACTCGTCTACTGGAGTTTTCTTCACACACAACATAGAAATACACACATAATTCATTACATTCTTACGTTTTCTTTCCAGTAAGAGTGCTCCCATACTGAATAAGAACAGTATTTTAGCTAAAGGTTTCTGCACATTCCTTAATTTCAGAGTTCCTAGACTTTGTTTCTAGCATGAATTCTCTGGTGCTTAGTAAGAGCTGAGCTTCGACTGAAGTTTTTCCCACATTCCTTACAAACATAGGGCTTTTCTCCAGTATGAATTCTCTGATGATCATGCAGGTTGGTTTTCTTTCGGAAGGCTCGCCCACATTCATTACATTCATAGGGTTTCTCTCCAGTATGAGTTCTCTCATGCTGAATAAGGGATGAACTTTGACTGAAGGCTTTCCCACAGTCAATACATTCATAGGGTTTCTCTCCAGTGTGGGTTCTCTCATGCTGAGTAAGTGATGAGCGTCGACTGAAGGCTTCTCCACATTCATTACATTCGTAAGGTTTTTCTCCTGTATGAATCCTGTGATGCTCTATGAAACTTGTACTCCTTTTGAAAGCTTTCCCACAAACATTACATTGATAGGGTTTCTCTCCTGGATGAGAATTAGGTTGCTGACTAAAGGCCTGCTCACAATCATAGGGGCTCTCTCCAGTATGGATCCTCTGATGGTCAGCAAGGTGTGTAATGTGACTGAAATCTTCCCCACAGTCATTACAATGATAGGATTTCACTTCAGTGAGAGTGCTTTCTTCTTGAATAAGAGATGAACTCTGCTTGAAATCTATGCTGTAGTTATTGCTTTGGTAAGGTTTGCCTCTCTTATGAATCCTCATATGTTTATAAAGGGATGGGCTCTGACCAAAAGCCCTCCCACATATGCTACATTCAAAAGGTTTCTCTCCAGTATGAGTCCTTTCATGCTGGACAAGGGAAGAACACCGACTAAAGGCTTTCCCACATTCCTTACATTGGAAGGGTTTCTCTCCACTGTGTGTAACCTCATGTTGTGTAAGGGATGTGCCATGCCTAAAGGACCTCCCACATAAATTACATCGATAGGGTTTCTCTCCCGTGTGAATTCTCTGGTGTTGAACAAGGGAGGAGCTGCGCTGGAAGGCTTTCCCACAGAGACTACACTGGTAGGGTTTCTCTCCAGTATGAGCATTCTCATGCTGACCAAGGGATGAGCTATGTCTGAAGGCCTTTCCACACACATTACATTCAAAGGGCTTCTCCCCAGTGTGAATTCTCTGATGCTCAGTAAGCTGTGTCTTCCAGAGGAAGGTTTTTCCACAGTCAGTACATTCATGGTGTTTCTTTCCAGGATAAATTCCCTGATCTGTACCGCTGGGGAAAGCTGCCTCTCCTTTATGAGTTTTCTCATGTTTTGTAAGTGATGATCTGTGAATAAAAGCTTTTCTGCATTTATTACATTTATAGGGTTTCTTTTTTGTGAGGATATTATTCTGATTCAGTAAGTCTGAATTATGTCCCAAGTTGCTTCCAAGAGTATTACATTCACTAGGTCTTATTCTCGAAGGAATGTTCAGTTGTGTAACCAGGTCTGTGCTCAATCCGGAGTTTTCACCAAATTTATTCTGCTCAAAACTTTCCTCTGGTACGATTATTTTCTTCTGGGTATATGCATCTGGCCGCAGAGGTCTCCTCCAGTTTTCCTGCTGTCTCTCTAACTGGCTTCTAACATCCCAGCTGTCTTCTAGTGTGGCATGTGAGAGATCATCTGTGTTACAGGAGATTGTAGATATGCCCTGCTGTGGCTTTGATGATTTGGCTTCAGGTGTCTCCCAGTCTGAAAGAAATCCGAAGTGCAAAAGTCCCTATTCCCTCCTGTTGAAACAAACTGCTACAGTAGGAATGAGGAAATGAAAGAGATATAAATTATACATGACTCTTTCGAAATTAGTCCTGTAGCCTGGGGAGAAGACCCAAAATGGAGAAAAGGGAGAGTGAAGGAGATGATAGTAAAGACTGCAGATCCAGAGTGTGTAGTAATGTCCAGAGAATGAGGAAAGCCTATATAAGAGGATTGGTTAGAGAACAAGGGAATAAGTATGAGAGTGTTAAGCACAGATACAAGTGGAACAGGAACAGAGTCTGGCTTACAGGATCCTATCTACTCTCCATGCTTCCTACCCATTTTACAAACTACCACAAAATCTATCTTCCTAATACATTCATTTCTGCACTTCTTTAAAGTCACCTCTGAGGCTCCAGGTCTCCAAATCCTGCAAAGAAAATCTGCAGCCAATAATCTAACCTAAAAGATTCTTTGATATACTTGGAGACTGAGAGATATACTTTAAAAGTTAAGAAAACGTAGCATTTCAGGGGGCAGATTATCCTTACACTTGGGGCTGTAGTTCAAGTCTGAGTTCTGGTTCTACACTACTCACTTCTCTTGACCAAAAAAGGATTTATTTTAATCTGTCTAATACAAACTGAGCTATAAACCTGTTTACCTCAGAATACCAATAGCAGAGAATTAATTTCTAGGTTCTAAGAATGGCAACCTTTAAAAACTAAGGGGAAGGCACTCTCTGGAGTGATGAAAATATTCCAAATTGATAGAGTTTGGGTTAGATGAATAAATGCATTTATGAAAACCAATTGAATGGTACAGATAAAGAGCTGAGCATTTCACTGTATGTAACTTTTTCTTTAAAAAAAGAAAAAAGAACCATAAAAAACTGAACTTTAGTTAATGATAATGTATGCTAAAGTATTTAGGAATAAAAAGTACTCATGTCTGCAACTTCCTTGGAAATGCACCAAAAAATAAGATGGATTGATAGAGGGAGAAATACGTGATAAAGCAAATACAACAAAATGTTAACTACAGGATCCAGGTGGTAGGTATGTGGCTGTTCACTGCCTAATTCTTTCAACTTTGAAATTTTTCATAATAAAATATTGAGAGGAAGAAAACAACCAAGGGATCTCAAACCCCAAAATTCCTTACACTGGAATTAGACTTAATTCTAAACTCCCGGGGACAGAGAATGCTTTGTATTTCTTCTTTTAGAATCCCTCTTAATGGGACATCAAAGAAATGCTTGATGAAACGAATGAGTGAAAAATTTCTCCCCCCAGTCAGATTCCGTAACAGTCAGTCAAGTAATACCTGTCTTCTAGATATTCTGCAACAGATAGAAATATAATAGACTCTTCCTCTAGGAGTCTGAAATCTAAGAATAGAAACAAGACTCAATATTTTGACAATTAAAAAAAAAAAAACACACACTGGATGGTATATTATTAAATCTGAGTTTGTGTAGTAGAAATGATATAAATGGTATTTGTGATCAGGGAAGAATATTTATATATATAGACCTTGAACTCAAATAATAGATGGCTTTGAATAGACAGAAAGTATTACCTAATGAGTAAAAGTGTATGCTACTTAACGGAGAACATTAAAAGAAGTTCAACCTAAATAAAGCTTGTTTTAGCAGGAATAAAAAAATAATACTGGAAGGTATGATAGAGGACCTTTAAATCTAGAGCTTCCTGTAATGAGGTATAGGGAACAAGGTTTTTTCAGAGGTGAATAGTTTATGAATATAAAGCTTTATAATCCAACATGGTCTATCAACTGATGAATCAACAAATATCCATACGATGGAATATTATTCATCCATAAAAACGGAATGAAGTACTGATACATTCTATAACATGGATGAGCCTTGAAAACATAGTTAAGTGAAAGAAGTCAGACACAAAATGCCACGTACTGTATGATTCCAGTTACGTAAAATGCCCAGACTAGGCAAATCCATAGAGATAAAAAGTAGATTAATGGTTATAGGCTAGGGGGAACAAGGAAGTGGGAGTGACTGATAATGGATTTGGGGAGTTTCGTTTTGGGGTGATGAAAATTATCTCAATAAAGGTGTTATAAAAGGAAAAAAAAGAAAATCCAATGTGGATTATAATAAGAAAATACAGAATGAGCAATTCCAACTGGGAACTACAGTAATCTAAGCTTGGTTCAGGACGTTACTGACGAAAGTTAAAAGACAGGAAAATCTAAGACATTTCTCAAAGGAGAAAAATAACCTGGGAAGATCAAGTAAAGGAGATTAAAGAAAAAAAAAAGAAGACTAACTGATTATGAAGTCTGGCCTAAGGGATCAGAAACCCAGTGGTCTCTAATGGTCAAAGGTAGAAATGGGTAATGGACAATGTAGCAAAATGTGGTGGCCGGGGATAAAGATGATTAATTTTAGTTTTTTATATATTCAATATGAACTGAGTGGGACTTCCAAATACAGAGGTCCTGTGAGAAGAAAAAAGAAAGACCAGAGTGCAAGTAAGGAAGATTTCTGAGTCTACAGCAGAATAAAGAGCTGCAACCACCAGAATGAAGGTACCCTTACAGGGACTTAATACAGACAGAATGAGGAGGAGGCTGGAGGGCAGATTCCTAAAGGCAAATTCACTTAGAGAAAAAGGTAAGAGAGCCTAAGACCTAAAAGCCAAGAAGCACTAGACAAAAGAGAAGCCCAGGAGAAGATGATATCACAGGAGCCATGGAGGGAGTCAGTGAGTCAAATCAGCATAAAGATGGGATAGAAGAAAAATGGTGTTGCTCCCTGACAGGTGTTTTAGCAGTTTAGGGAAAAAAGTCTGAAAACAGGTTACAAAAAGGAGGGAGAATCAAGGCTGTTGAGTATTTCCTACAAGTCTGAGGCATCTGACAGTGAAAGTGACCTCCAACCCACCCAAAAAAGGAGGAAACATGGAAGTTCAATTAATATCAGAATGAGTAAGGAGTCTCTAAATAATGAAAGAAGACTGAGGAAGCCAGAGGAGAAAAGAATCCAGAAAGTAGGTTTACAGGATAGGCAGTAATGGTAGGGTAAAACAAGAGGTTACTTTTAGAAAAGAATAAGGAGTACCTTTTCTTCTAAGTCCCACTAATAGCAACACCCTGTGGTAGGAGACCTACAAAGGTGTCACCCAGGAGACCCTCAAACCAAATGGCTTCAGCTTCCTCTGCAGGTGTCGGAATTCCCAAGTTAGCAATTCAAAGGTGCTTTCCCCTCCCTGAGCCGCGCTGTCATCTGCATTGATTCCTACATGCCTGATTCCCACTCATTTACCTGGACAAAAAGGTCTTTGGATTTCTTCCTCTGATATCCATGGCTCTTCTCCTTGCTCCAATTTGAAGATCACCTCTGGCTTGGAAACTTGATATCCTGCTCATGGGTAAATACACAAGCTTAGGTTGTTTGTGCAAGTGGACAAAGAACCCTCCTACAAGTCAGTACTAGTCCTTGATCTGCAGGAACACTGAAGGAAAAGAAAAAGTACAACTTAGGGAGTCATGCAATGAAACAAATTATTTCTAGTTCTGCAAAATAAAGATCTTTTACCTCGAGAGAAGGATCAAAAACCCATACATAAAGCTGGACCTCAAAGAGATTAACAAGCTCTGATCCTGAACACCCTACTCACAGTTACCTAAGCTATGAGCACCTTAGCAACTGAGAAAGGCAAGACCCACCAATGGGCAAGACACTGAGGGGAGTTGTTCTTACCAAGAGAAACCAGATGGCTATAGTTCTCTAGCATCACATCCCTGTACAAGATCCTCTGAGCAGGGTCCATGTGGTGCCATTCTTCTTGGGTGAAGTCCACAGCCACATCTTTGAACGTCACTGATTCCTGTAGGATCACATTCCTGCTCAACTAGGGATCAAGCCTGCCAACACTCCCATGGCAATACTCAGAACATACCATACCCGTTGTCGTCAAGTCGATTCCGACTCATAGCGCCCCTACAGGGCAAGGCAGAACTGCCCCACAGGGTTTCCAAGGAGCAGCTGGTGGATTCGAACTGTCGACCTTTCGGTTAGCAGCTGAGCTCTTAACCACTGTGCCACCAGAGGATCTATCAAAAGCAGTGATCACACGTTTGGTATTCTGAGAGGGCAAGATTGGGTTATATACACCGGTTGTTTAAACAATTTTGTATAGGGTCAGTATGGCAGGCAGGAAAGTCATGAGGGGCAATTTGGCCTCTAAACCTGTATCCCATCTAATTATCTTCTTGCTTTCCCTCAGAGCCAAGCGTTGCCGTCAATTCCTTGCTGCCACTTCCTTGCTGTCCGTTCACTTCCTTTGTGTGTGGGGGTGTGAATGTGTGTGTTGGGGGAGGTTTATAAAATCCGAAATACAGTGGGCATAAAAAGTGATAGCCCTCTTGATCCCCACCACCAATTCCACTTTACTCTCCAGAGATTATCACTGTTAACAGTTTGGTATATACCTTTAGAGTCCGTTTTCCATATTCACACACACAACCTCATTTTGTAAAATACTATACACACTGTTCCACAACCTTTTACATTTAACTATGTGTTTTGGAGATATTTCCATAGTGGCTACATACTTTCACCTTATTCCTCTGAACTGCTTCTTAGTACTCCAAAGTAGTTATATTACAAAACAATCACTGCCTAAAACAAACAGCATCCCGCTCTTAGAGTAAAATTGAAACTTCTCCATCACTCACTAGGCTCTAGCCATGCTGACCTTGCTATTCCTTGAATACCTCAAGTTTGTTCCCACCCAGGGCCTTTATGCCCTCTATTCCCAGATCACAACAAGGCTGACACTTTGTTACTTACATCTCAAGTCTTGCCTCTTCAAAAAGGCTGTCTTAACACCTCTAATTTACTGTCATATTTCCAAGTTTAATTCTCTTCATAGTACAGTATCTTTCACTGCCCAAATTCTTGCTACCAAACAGACTCAAACAGAAAAGGACACTTGTACTTCTAACAATTATCTGAGATTAGTTTGCTTGCTGGTTTTTTGTCTCCTCCCACTGTACGCTCCTTGCGAGCACAGACTATCCATCTTGATCAGTTATATGCCCAATGTGTAGAACAATCCCTGACACATAGCAGATGCTCAAAAAATACTTGGTGAATAAATGGATCAGTTCCTTATTAATAGATATTTGGATTGTTTCCAGTATTGTTCTATTACAAACATTATTGCAATAAATATTGTTTATAAAAAATAAGCTAGAATTTCTCTAGGATAACTAGAATTGAAATTGCTAGGTGAAAGGTATTTTCACACTTCTTACTCCACTTCAACCATGCTTCTTCCACCATCCCACTGAAACTAGGCTGGCCAAGGTCCTCAGTGCCTCTCAATTGTTCTGATGGTTGTGGGATGATCTTTGTCTTGCTTCACTTAGCCTTGTTAAGCCATGAGATATCTGTGACCATGCCCTCCTCAAAATATCTCTTTTGGTTCTGGTTAGATTTCTATCTCAGAAAGTAAATAAAGAAGTGTGGTTAAGACAACTAGTGTGAAAAGACATTGAAAGCAGAGCTGAGTTAGCTGCAGCAGTGAGAAGATACCACGGAGGCTTCTGTCTTATTCCATGCCCTTTTCCCCTCTGCTTAGCTACAGCTGAACTGAACTCTTCAGTTTGTTTGAAGGAATCATTCTCTCTCCCCTTTCTGCCAGACTTTCCCTTAGGTAATTCCATTTCATGCTTCAGAGATTTAGCAGATCTTCAGATAAGTCTTCTGATCCGCTATAGGAGGGTTAATCCCTCTATTATGTGCTGTAAGCCACTTTATACACCCACAAGTATTCAAATAAACCTAATAATCTATTCAGTGTTTATATTCCTCACTAGACTGTAAGCATTATGAGGGCAGAGATTTTATTTTTTAAACTCTGAAACACCAGTGCCCAGCAAGTGCCTGACCCACAATAAATACCTGTTTACTGACTGTGCTGAGCCTTATGGAGATGTATGCGATTTGAATTTGAGAGAAGATAGGATGGCCCCATCTCCTACTGTGAAGTGTATGATGACATCCATACACAACTCTGGCTCATTTGTACGATATTCCTTCTCAACACCAAGGCTGTGTCCCCATGGAAACAGAAAAAGGATGAAACCGGTGGGAGACTATTTTGACCAAGGTCAGGGATCTGACTGTGCCAGGTAAAGTAACACTAGATATCTACTAAGTGCCTGGCTTTACCATATACACTGTGGCAGAATAAAAATGGAAATGAGAAACACTGCAGTCCTTGAGTAGATTTCAGTTTATTTTAAAATGTGTAATTTATTAGAGCACAATTTGAGAAAATACGCAGTAAAGTGAGGCACTACAGGTGTTCAGAGCAGGGAAGACTGGGAGAGAGGGGGGAATCTTCAAGGAATACTATGCACAGGGCCTTAAGAAGTAGGTACCATTTAGAAGGGAGGAGAAAAGGTGGAAGTCAATCCAGAGATTGAGAAGCTTAAGAAGGGAGACTGGACCTGTGATGGACATGGCCAGCAAAAAAAAGGGGTAGGACCCGACATTTTAAGTTGGGTTGTAAGAACTAACACCCTCTCCCCAGTGCCTACTCTGTCTCCTAAACATAGAGTCCATTTAGCTTAGTAATAGGTAGTGAGTCATCAGCAAAGCTGGATTCCTTTGCTCTGGTCCTCATATTTAACACATGGCCTCTGGATTATATTCTGCTTCCCCAAATAGATCCCACTAATGGTAAAGACTGCTGACTAATAAGCAAATGGCTACTTCGAGCCAATCATCATTTCTTGCCTTGACTGGTCTCCATTCTTCTGCTCTTGGTCCCAACACCCTTATTTTTTTCCTACATATTATCAGAGCCTAAACGTCTCTAAACACAAATTTGATCATGCTTATTACAAACCTTTAATTTTTTCCCTATCTAGCCCATGCCACCATCTCTTACATGGACTATTGCTACAACCTCCTAACTGGTCTCTCATTTTCCACTTACTTGCCCCACTCACACCCTCAAGGGTATATTCCACGTAACAACCATGATCTTGTTAAAACCTGTCAGCTCATGTCACTCCTTTGCTTAAAACCCTCCAGTGGTGCCCCAGTTCATTCCAGGTAAAAGCCAAAGTCTTTATAGTGGCGTATACAGCCCTTCACAATCTGGCCTGCCCCATCTCTCTGACTTCATTTCAAACCTCATCACCTACCGCTCTCCCTTTCATTCACCCTGCCCTCCTTCTGATTCCTGGAATACATTACGCATGCTTCTCCTTCGTGGCCTTTGCTCTATCTGTTCCCTTGACTTGGAAGCCTTTTCCTGTAGATAAATACATGGTTCCCCCACTCACTTCCTTCAGCTTTGTTCAAATGTCACTTTATCAGAGCAACTTTCCCTGACCACTCTACATAAAACAGCACCCCATCCTGCTGTCACTCTGTCCTTTTTTTCTTCTTCATAGCCTATACCACCTGACATATATTTTTGTTTAGACTGTATCCTACACCAGAATATAAACTCCAGGAAAGCAGGGAAATTATCTGTTTTCTTTATTGTTCAATCTCCATTACCTAGAACAGGCCAGGCACAGACTAGGTGCTCCATAAATATTTAATAACTATATACTATTAAATAAAAATTTTACCTGCTTTTTACCTTTATTTTTTTATTGTGACTACTAGCAATTTGAAACCATATATGTAACTTGCATTATATTTCTTTTGGACAGCGCTGTTCTAGATTGTCTCCCAGCCACAGACTTCTCTCCACCCCAGAACTAATGAATCATCTCTCTCAAACTTTGCTCTCTGCCATTCACCGTAGATGACCACGCTTCTGCCATGTGGACTCTTTGTCATTCATTCCCTGATCATATTATTCCCTTTCATGTCTCCTTGCCTTTGTACCGTATGTACATACTTTATTCTGACCATAATGTACTTTCTTCCCTCAGCTCTACAGGAAAAATTCCTGGTCATCATTCTAGAACCAGTTCAATGGTTCCTTTTCTTCTTAAGATTTTCTATATCCCCTATCCTCCCGTTCCCTTTAGCATTTGGTTTATGTCTCCATTTCAGAACTGCAGTCGTTTAGTCATATGTATTTCTCCCTCATCAATTTCTCAAACTCCTTGACTAAGACCATACCCTTTTCATTTCAGTATCCTCAACACCAAGCACATTGGACTGCCCAGAATTACCTGGGCAACTTTTCTAAATTACCCATGGAGGGCCTTGTCAAGTATCTTTTTAAAAGTTCCTTGGGTGATTCACTATAAAAGACCAACAGTTAATATTTACTGAACACTCACTGTGGCCATTTAGTCATTTATACGCACTGTCTCATTAAATTTTCTCACAGAAACCCTGTCACCATCCCACGGGAAGCAGGTACCACTTCCTGACTAGTTCTGAAGCACAACCTTGGTTAAGAACCACTGCCTGGCACAGAGCATGTCCAAAATGTCTGCTGAGTGAATGAATACAGGGTATGGGTAATTCTTAATGAAGAAGGATGGTGGTCCAGGGACATCTTATGCGGGTTTGGGTGACCTGAGTCAGATGTGGCTGGGTCTGTTCATCCTGGTGTTCTGACCTCAGAGTTCTGGGGATCTGGAGTTAACAGAGACCAGATCAGAGATGGGGCCCACTTCCTCCCCATTAAGGCAGAACACCAAGAAACCCAGACTCCATATGTAACTTTTTTCTTGTAAAACTTCCCCATATCTTTGTTCTTTTTTTAAATGAGGTGAAATTCACATAAGATTAGCCATTCATAGTGAACCATTAGTGGCATTTATAAGATTCACAAATGTTGAGCAACCACCACCTCTATCTAGTTCCAAAATATTTTCATTACTCTTTCCTCATTTTTTTTGGGGGGGAATCAGATGAATTCAAATCTAAGATTGGCAAATATTTTATTTTCCTAACTAAAAATGCAGTACATATATAATGAAGAAAAGATGAACAAGGGTGCAGAGTTTCTATAGAAAGAGCTACAACACATGTAGATCCTAACGATTCTAATGGCATCCTGCTTCTCCCATCTATATGCTCCCATTTTTATTCCACTGCCACTAGAGCCACTTTGTTAGCTAAGCCCAGGGGGAAGGTGCCAACCATCAAACACCCTTCCAGAGGAATTCCAACTTCCAGTCTCTTGCTCCTACAATTCATTATTCACAGTAATCTTTAAAACTAAGAAGAAAGCATACTATTTCCCTGCTCAGAAACATTGGCCCAAGCTACACTGGCCTCCTTGCTGCTCCTTAAATACACCAGACACACATCCAGCCTTAGGGCCTTTGCTCAAATATCACGAGCACAATAAGGGTAAGGGTTACCCAGACAACACTATTTAAAATTAAAATTGTACCCCTACCACAAGTTTCCTGCCTCCCCATTCAGTCCCCCTTATTTTTTACGTTTTTTTCTGAGGTACCCTCACCCTCTAGGATATTGTATAATTTACTTATTTACTGAATTCTTTTGTCCTTCCCTTCTAGAATGTAAGTTCTATGAGAGGAGACACCTTTGTAAATTTTGTTCACTAATGGGAGTATCTGGGTGGCACAAATGGTTAAGTGCTTGACTACTGGCCCAAAGGTTGGCAGTAAGAACCCACCCAGGGGTGCCTGAGAAGACATGCCTGATGATCTACTTCTGAAAGGTCACAGCCTTGAAAACCCTGTGGAGCAGTTCTGCTCTGTACACTTGGGGTCGCCCTGAGTTGGAATCACTCTATGGCAACTAACAACAACAACATATCCTAACTGCACAGAAAAGTGCCTGACCCATCATAGGGGCTCAGTGGCTATCTTTTGAATATATAGATGGCTGGATGGATGAATGAATGGGTTACCATGGCCAAATAAAAAGTCCCGACTTCTTTCTGTCCTCATCTATCCATCACCTGCAGACCACACCTGTTGTTACACAGGGCAATGGATTTCATGACCCAATCGTCTTCCGAACCCCATCTTCTCCTCTGACCCACCAAGTCAGTCACCTCTACCTCTACCCTCTTCATTTTCACCTGCTTAGACGCTACCTATCAAACTTCTATTCACAGGTGACAGTCTTCACTAAATCCTTCCCATAGACAGAATTTCCTCTTTCCTTTCTGTACACAAAGCAGCCTCTGGGCCTCTGTAACAACACCTGACATCCCTCTCTCCCTTGTGCTACACTTCTGCATAAGACTGTCTTCCTCCATTAAATTAACTTCCTGGATAAACAGTCTTATGACTCTATAATTCATCTTTTGCATTCCCCTAAGGGCCATGCTCAGAAAAGGCGAACCAATGACAAAGGGAAATTTCTGCCCGCAAATCCCCTTTGTAAGGCCAGTGTTCTGTCCATCACGCCTGCTCATCACCTACAGTCTGAGTTAGGTAATCCAAGTGGACTGTCAGGCAATTGCAGAAGAATATAACTGAACCAGAGTGCTTGGGAAACACAACCTTAAAAGTGAAGTTTAATGTGGTCCCTAAAACTCACTGCACAGAACACGTATCTACTTTGTTTTCTGAAGACCATGGAATCCACATTTGACAAGACTCCTAGCTCAACACCATTAAGAAGGCAACCCCTCCTAAGGAAAGTACCATCACCTCTGATAGGACATTAGTCATCCTAATTTCATGAGCCCTGGTGGCACAGTGGTTAAGCACTTGGCTGCTAACCAAAAGGTATGTAGTTCAAACCTACCAGCCACTCTGTGGAGAAAGATGTGGCAGTCTGCTTCTGTAAAGGTTACACCTGGAAGTCCTATGGGCAGTTCTATTCTGTCCTGTGGGGTCACTATGAGTCAACGAATTTTACTGAGGAAACACTTTGTATGTAAAGGTGATAATGATAATGATTTGCTCTGCTTCCCGTTAAACCAAGTAACTGTCTAGTTCTAGTGCTGTACTTGTCTTACTCCTTAAAGCTCACCTCTGTAAAACAAAACATGTAAGATGTAAAAAACCGAAAGGCATTATATAAAGTGTACGTTTAATTTTCTGTAAACTGTTTTTAAAGACATTATTAGTATTTTTATGAATTGAGTTTGATGTCTCATACACCTAGCAACTAGAATCTATAATTTTTCCTTAATTCTAAAGAGAGCATGGATTAAAATATCATCTGTCCTGTTATGTTTTACTGATACACTTTGCCCCCTCCAACCGCCCCACCCCAAAGAATGAATGGGTTCACAAATCAGGCTCATACTTAAAGTGAAGGCTGGAGTTCCTTCCGGTGCACTATTATACCTTTGTTAAACCAGAAAAGGACATGAAAAGCTATGGACAAGTCCTCCCTGGTTTTTTGCCTCCTTGTACAAAAAAAGCCCACCTCCAGTCTCTTCCTAGGCATGTCCGGAGTAGACCTCTTCGGCCCCATAAAGTCTCTCTATGGCCCTTGGGTCAGAAGCTGGGGCTCCTCTCTCCTTCACTCACTGCTGCCTTTCCAGTCACTTCCTCCTCTACAGTTTTCAACCTGTCACCCACTCTCTCCATTCCTTCTTAACAGAGTTCAAAGAACTGGCTTGGCACTCAGACTCTTAGCACTGACACTTCCCAACATACTCCACCTTAACCACACCGCTCTGGTCCCCTCCATCCCGCAGTGCGAGTCCCCTTTTCGGGAAGCCGGCTGCCACTCCAGCGTCCGCGTAATTGCTCCTCCCACCTCTGGACATCTTTGGGTTTCGTGTGGCTAGGAGGCTCCGGGGGGCAGGGGGGCTAACCAAGTTCAGGGGTCGCCAGGCGTAGGACAATGACCCCCCAAAACACCGTCTGTGGGCCTAGCTGGATTAGGAATGCACTGCTCACCTGGAGCACAGCCTTCGGCGGCCTCGGGGCCATTCCCGCCAGGTCGGGGCCCCACTCCGGAACAGGGACTGAGAAGAGAGGAGAGGAACCACTCATCCGTCTGCGACCGCAGCCCCTGATCTGCCCCGCCACGCCGGACCCGCCTCTCCTCTCAAGGCTTCACCTTTAGGGGAGAAGTGGGGAGATGCGCAGACCCCGCCCTGGCCTGCCGTTTCCTCAACCCGAAAATTAAGTTCTCCGGCGGCACCTCGACCCACCGCGCCCGGCCACGCCCCGGTCCCCCAGCAGGATGGAGGGCGCGGCCCCGCGAACACCCGCCAACCCATGGGAGGTACCACCCCGACCCGCGCACTCGGAATCACCGCCTCCTAGGGGTTTCGGATTTCTCGACCTCTGGCCCACCCAAGGGCCTTGGGCTGGCTTCTCCTACAACAGGTCCAGGCTGCGTCCTCCCGGATTCTCACCAGCGGAGGGGTTTTCCAAATCCGCTTCAGCCGCACCAGGGCCGGACAATGGCCGCAGCGGCGACGCAGAGCCGGAAGTGCGCTTGCGCACGCGGAGCCTCGCGCCTGTAAGCCCCTGGGCCCCGGCAGTCGCACGAACTACACTTCCCGGAGGCCCCCGCGCGGTGGTTCCTCAGGTCCCCCCAAGAGGCTGCTTCGGAGGACTACGCGCCTGTCTCTTGGCTCTCCTGTGGGGACCACTGTGAGGGCCGAACGCTACGGAGAGTGTGGCTTGGGTATTCGTATATCACTCATTCCACAGGTAGTCACTGAGCGCCTCCTCTGTACCAGGAGCACGCTGCTAGCGGCAGGATACAGCGGTAGACGAGGCAGGAAAGTTCCTGCTCTTGGAGAGCGAACGTACATTCCCGTGGTTGAGGCAGACAATGAAGACGTAAACGTTTAACAAGATAATTTCACGTACTGACTTCGCCATAGGAATAAGACGGTGAATGGAGTGGAACAAAGTTAGTGTGGTGGTGGGCGGCCGCTCTGAGGGAGTGACTTAGGAGTTGAGACTTAAGGAGAGAGTTGAAGGACATGCAGGAGAAAAGCATTCCAGGCTGATGGAACAGACAGTGCCAAAGCCCAGAGATGAAAAGAGCTTGATGTGTTTCAGAAATAGAAGTCCATTGTGTCTATAGCAAAGGGAGGGAAGAGTGAGCGCAGTGGAGTAGGACAGGCAGGCGGGGGTTTGATCAAGCAGGGCTTTTGAGGCCACGATAAGGAGTGTGGATTTTACTTTGTGGTGGAAGCCATTGTATAAGTAGCAGCAGCGGAGTCACTTATTACTTCGAAGGGACATTATTACTATGGAGGGATCAACCAAGAGGGATTTTTCGTCTTGTCCCAGAATTGGTAACCAGGATTCAAAGCTGAGGATTAAGTTCTCCCACATTCTAAAGAAAGACAAAAATATATGGGGCTAGACATCTCCTCAGGTCTTAAAAAGGGAAGTAGGGTGCTAATCTTGCCCTGCTGCTATCAACTATTGCCTCAACACCGGCCCTCCTTACCAGGCTATATAAAGAGAATATGATGGGAAAGAAAAGGTAGAAGTCCTCAGAAAAGCAAGCCCTCTGCCTACTGGGGAATGCAGTGTCCCACCTCCACCTCTAAGATGAATATGAGGAAGAGAAGCACTCAAACATTGAGAGCACCCAGGAGAAGGGGAGAATTTTATAAGTTACACCAGTGCCGTCCTGTGCAAGGGAAAGGAGAATTGGGGAGCAAGTAGCTGAGTGTAAGGGCAGCAGTTTAAATTTCCTTCGTAAAGGTAGCAAGTGAATGTCATGGGAAACAATTGAGCTTTGGGGTAGCGGGGGAGGGGGAGCAGCTCACAAAGCAAAGGAATGTAACACTAAGAGGCTGTGTTCAAGAAGGAGCTGAGGAAGTTGGAAGATGTTGAAGCAGAGCCAGATATCCCATCAAGCTTCCACAGGTTTCCTCCAAGGAACTCACAAATGCATTTCCGTTTCTGGCAGTGTGACCAAGCAACTTTAATGTTGTATAAAATATTTCTAAATATCTTTAAAAGTACGTTGATGAGCTGGAAAATTGGTAAGGAATGCACAGAGACCAAAGCCTAAGCAAAATTGATAACTTAGGTAAATTTGAGTTTTGTTTTCCAAAGTCCTGTAAGCACAGGGGCCAGGTGATAAAAACCCAGGACCCATCCAAAGTAGGGGATCTAATAGGAGACCCCTCCCTCCCCAGTAACGCTTGAGACTCCAAGGGTAAAAATGAAAATCCTCCTGGTGAGGGCTACAAGGTAAATTGCCTGGTTCAAACCTTGGCAATGAGTGGAAGAGGGGGAAAATCCCTCCCTGAGGATTGTAACCACAAGCTGACCCTCATGTGGATTTGCAGCCTGAATTCACAGTCCCTAGGTGGCCTAAAAAACTGCAAGCTGAGAATTTAGTTTAAACTGGTCCCAGGCTAACAGTGTTTCCAGGCATCTGGCAGAAGCAAATACAAATCCTGTCTGGAGGAAACTACTTTCAGGCCAGGCTTCAAAGGATTCCCCCAGATAAGATTACGAAAAATAGGAGCTCGTAATCACAAA